AAACAGCTTACTCTTATCAGCTCTTTTAAAAAGTGTAATTAATGTTGCTGGGTTGCCTCTATACAGAAGGTGAAGAGATGGAACTGCAGTGCGTGAGGTTTCTGAATCCCAATCTTATTTGTGTTTAGGAATGTTGGAGAGTTTTGGTGGAACCAGAAAAGGGAGCAGGAATTTCTGGTCTTCGCTTCTTCACCCCATGTCCGAACCCCATGTCTGAAATCAGTACAGCGGTACCTCTGGTTGTGAACGGGATTCATTCTCGAGGCCCGTTCGCAACCTGAAAAGAACGCAACCCGCATCTGTGCATGCACGGGTCGCGATTCACCGCTTCTGCACATGTGTGCGACGTCATTTTGTGCATCTGCGCATGCGTGAGCGGCGAAAACCGGAAGTAACCCTTTCTGGTATTTCTGGGTCACCGTGGGACACAACCTGAAAAAGTGCAACCTGAAGCAAATGTAACATGAGGTATGACTGTATTCGCTGCTGCTACTGTTTTCAATCTTTCCACAGGGCAGGCGCCACTACCAAGAAGGCCCTCTGCCTGGTTCCTTGTAACCTCACTTTTTGCAGCGAGGGAACCGCCAGAAGGCCTTCGGCGTTGGACCTCAGTATCTGGGCTGGATGATGGGGGTGGAGACGCTCCTTCATGTATATTGGACAGAGGCTGCTGAGGGCTTTAAAGGTCAGCACCAACACTTTGTATTGTGCTCGGAAACGTACTGGGAGCCAATGAATATCTTTCAGGACCGGTGTTATATGGTCTCGGCGGCCACTCCCTGTCACCAGTCTAGCTGCCGCATTCTGGATTAATTGCAGTTTCCGAGTCACCTTCAAAGGTAGCCCCACGTAGAGCGCATTGCAGTAGTCCTAGTGGGTAGAGGAACGTAATGATAAAGGAACTGATTACACAAGTAATTCAATAAAATTCCTCCACACCTGACAGCCCTTCTCCTAATGTAAAGAGATGCTGTGGATGCGCTTAGGGTGTGGAGTTTGGATATGCTGTAGCAACATGGTAATAGTGATTGCAATTTGAAGTACAATAAAGCAATAGTCAGTAAAATTACGGTTGGTCTAAGTAAAAGGCATTTTTCTGTCTTGATAGTACATCAAACACTCAAATGTTGATCACTGGAGCCTTTGCACGAAATGTAAATGAAACCTTGTGGGGAAAGTAAAGGAATTATTGCTTATGTCATGTTTTCAGTGGAACAGGGAAATATTTCTGAGCTTTAGAGAGACTGTCAACTCTGGGCAAAATGGCCAAATGTACAGGGGAGCCAATTAGGCCTAATTATAAATCACCCAATCTGTTCTTGTTCTCTTCCTTCCTTTACTGCAGAATTCTTATACCTCTGAGTATGCAGTTGCCAAGATGCCAAAGATGTTCCTTAAACAAAGTAACATTGGAGAAACTGCCATTGCTGATGCCAAGTAAATAATGCAGGAACATAGATGTTGGTGGGAAGGAAAAAAATAAGTATAAAAGGAGAATTCCCTGGATGCCAAGATGCAGTACTCTTTGGTGAGAGAACACCAGCGGAGATTTAAAATCACAAAATATGCAGCAAAGTAAAGCGTGGACATTTAGACCGTTAGACCTTTAAAATATGCCCTTCTAAGTTCCTTCCAAAGCTCCCCTAGCATAGCAAAAGATCATGCATTTGGTAAGTTAAAAATGGGTTTACGTAAAAACTCTTCAAAGGTCAGGTTCATGCGCTTTTCCATACTTCAGTCAGAAAGCACCGGCAGTAAAACTTGGCTTAGTTACAGTGGTGAAAGTTTCTAAATTATTGTTATAGGATTAAGACATTCTGGGAGATGATTTATAACGAAATGAAAAAGGTATTTAAATACACCTTACTGAAGAAACCAGAGGCCTTTCTCCTGGGCATGGTTGGTCAATTGGTGTCAAAGAAGGATAGAACTTTCTTTATGTATGCAACAACAGCAGCAAGAATACTCATCGTGAAGTATTCCCCACCCGGGAAGAATGGCAGATGAAGTTGATGGACTATATGGAATTGGCGGAAATGACTGGCAGAATCCGAGACCAGGGAGAAGAGTCGGTGGGAGAAGACTGGAAAAAGTTTAAAGACTATTTACAGAAATACTGTAAAATTAATGAATGTTAGAAAAATGTTGGAATGAAGTTATATGGCCTTAGTAGAAATGTTATAAGGAATTAAGTATAAATAGATTAATAGAGTATTAAAGGGAAAAATAAGGTTAGAATGTGTTAAGATTATTATAGGATAGAAAGCAGAGGAAGATGGAAAGGAATTGCTGAAACAATTAATAGAAGTGGAATACAAAAAGGGAGGTGTGAGGAGGTCATTGAAATAAGTGAATGAAAGATAAGATATTGAAATTGTTTGATGTGTTTTAAACTGTTTTTGTTTTGTTTTGTTAGTTTAATGTGTTGGTGTCATGTAGTGTTTTTGTATTGTATTGTATATTTTTTCCCCTGTAGTGTTTAAATTGTTGGAAAAGTAGTAAATATTATTTTCAAAGAAAAAGAAAAGAAAGTTTCTAAATTATTGTTATAGGGACACAAGAATGGCTTGTAATAGCCATGCAGTCTGAGCTGCAGCAAACAGCTCAGAACCTCTTCACACGCTGAGCTCCTTTGGTAGACTGAGGTGAACAAAAGCCTTGATTACTTTCCTCCCAAGGTGAGGGAGAATGACCTAGCTAAGCCTGGCAGGGCAGCTTACTCGATGGCATTAACCCCTTCATGCATTAATTTGACTTAAGCATGTTGGTCAAATGAGGCTGGTTATCCCTCAACATGGAGCTAGACTACTGGCCTATCTAGCTCAATATTGTCTACACTGACAGGCAACAGTTCTCCAGGGTTTCAGATTGGAGTGATCCCCAATGCTACCTAGAGATGCTAGGAATTGAAACTTGGACCATCTTAGGGTTGCCAGTTAGGAGCATCCCAGACCCTGAGATTTCAGGGTCCAAACCTGAGACCTAGGAATGGCCCCTGCTGATGTCAAGGGGGTGGTCTGTGGAGATGGAGGTTAATGGGAAAAGGAGAGCATCACCCCTATGAGCAGACCTGTTCCTGCGATCATTGTTTGAGGCCCTTCAATGAGAGGTCTGGAGGGCGGCAACACAATTACAGGCCTTTTCTTCACCTTCGTTAGATATCTATCTATCTATCTATCTATCTATCTACCTATCTATTTAGGCACCAGGCAAAAACATTCCTCTTCTCCCAGGTCTTTGGATAATTAAAACTTATAAACTCTCTGTGTGTGGGTCATTGTTTTTTGTTTGTTACTATGCTATGTCTTTTTGTGTGTTTATATTGTAAACTGCCCTGTGATTCTTGGGTGGAGGGCAGTATAGAAATTTAAATAACAACAACAACAATAACAATAAGGAAGGCATACTCCCGCAGAGAGTCTCCACTAAAATTTGCAGCAGCTCCAGCCAGCCTGAAGCCTGCAAGTTTCATTGCACAGTCTTATTATTAGTATTGTCATTATTAAGCACAGTGTCACCCACCTGGAGATTCAAGCTCTCCACTTGCCAACTGGAGTGGGCCAGGCAAACCTGGAAACTTCAGGCCAGACCTGGAGGTCTGGTAATCCTTGACCATCTCCATGCAAAGCAGATGCTCTCCACCAAGTGAAAGCCTTTCTCCTAAACAGCATTTCTTGTAAAGAGACGAGACGGAGTAGGGAGGCTGGTGGATGAATAACCGAGTTGTTCTCCCCGCCATGCTGAGGGTGATGGCACATGGCTGAAAATGCCACAAAGATGGATGGGTTCAAAATGCAGTTCTCAGATGCAGGGGGCGGGGAATAGATCGTTAGAACAATTTAATAAAAAGAGACCCCTCTTGCGGCAATAAAAGAGAACAGAAGGCAGAGACGGAAGAGGAGCATGCATGAAAATCAATTCCTAGGCTTTGCTCTCTAAAATATAGTGATAGTGCCACAGTCATAAAAAAAATGGATTCACATCTGTTCTTTTAAATCTGAAGAGTAGAACATCTGCTTTGCATGCAGAAGGTCCCTGATTCAATCTTGAGCATCTCTAGGAAGGATGGACAAATTCCTTTGTCTGAAATTCTGGAGAGCTGCTACCAGTCAGTGCAGACAATGCTGAGCAATGGTCGGACTCATTATAAGACCCATTCCTATGTCCAGTGTTAAGTTGTGGGTGAACATATCAGACGACACAGCGATTCTTCAACAGCTCTTGTTTATTCACAGGCCAGAACAGAACTAAACTGAAGGATTCAGCCAGCCTGCTTATATAGAGCTCCACTACAACGCAACAGTAACCACTTTCTGTAACTATCCAATCACTGAACGTCACTTTCAATCTCTTATTTGCATATGTGGACCTGAGTGAAAACTATCTACAGTATCCCCCTGCTGGCCCAGGGTGAGAACTTCAGTACATAACGTCCAGTTTCTATACCAAGCTGAATGCTTCAGTCCTTTTCAGGGATGCAACCATGGGGGAAAGATGGAGGAAATTGTCTTAATAAAATGCACAACCCCACACCCCTATTCCTATGTGGATCTTTAGTGACAAAAATTCAGTATCAGTACTGCAGCAAATCTTAGTGAATTATGGTGAAAGATGAAATGCAATGAAGGAACATTAGCTGCACCCCTTTAATGTATATATTTTAGCTCTTATCTTCACAGAGCCCAATCCTTTGCATGTTTACTTAGGACAAAGTCTGATCACACTGAGTTCAAGCGACTTTACTCCCACTAAAGTGGCATAGGATCAAATGACAAAATAACCCTCAGTCACAATAAAATGGTTAAGGTTGCTGCACCCATTAATTCTTCAAAACTCATTCACATTAGCAATAAAGTGCTAACTAAGCTGGCAATCATTGTGCATTACAAACAACACAATGCACAATGATTGTCACGCAGTATTTTCTGGAGTGGCTTAGCTTGCATTTCCTTGCTTTTGTGTGTGTGAGTTTTGAAAAGTAATCGGTACAGCAGTCTGTTCTGTAAAGAAAAGAGATATTTTCGTCTATTAACTTCCTGTGCATGAAAACTTTTTATTGTTGTTGCAGGCAAAAGTAAAATTTGTGGTTACTTTGTGTGTCTGTGTGCGTGTGTGTGTGTGTGTGTGTGTGTGTGTGAGAGAGAGAGAGAGAGTGCAGCAACCAGTGCTGTTGTTGTTGCTATCAGCATCGTGTTGCTAATGATTCAGGCTCAAAACAGATGTTCATAATGTTACTGGTTTATTAAAAAGGATTATATGCAGCTCGCTGTCAAGGCTCTGAACACAGGTCTGCGGCAGGTTTTCTCCTGGTCCAAGGGAGAAAAAGGAGGATGGTGTGTTGAGGGGTGGTATACAGGTAATTCAAGGTACCTGCAGCCATCTATAGCTCTCAGCTGTTCTGCTTCTTTTTGGAGGAATGAGCTTTTAAGAACTCGCTTAGTGTAAACTAGTTAGACTGCAACATGCACAACAAGTAAGGAAACATGCACTACGATGGAAGTTGGTGCATCACAGCAGTAGAGCTTTCAGGCATTGTGGAGTGGATACGTACGACAAAAAGGGATTTGCTTAGTCTGGCAATCAGATCCTGGCATGTATCTGCTGTTGCCCATCCTTGTATGCTCACGCATACAGAACGCATTCACATTGGGACACCCTTCAAAGAGTTAAGTCAAGAGCCGAGGCTACGATTAAAAAAATAAATAAATGGAGTGACACTTACGTTTCACAATCGCATCGGGAGAGCCCATAATGACCATCTGTGGGTTATGGAATTAATCCAGCTCGTGAAAAGAGATCTCTATGGCCCTCTGGTGAATTAATCATACTTTATTTGAGATCTTCATTTCACATCCAAGAGACAAACACCACATCCGAGATGGCGAGCACAGCGATACCATTTGCAACTCTTTCTAGGCTTTAAAAGTAACATACCAGCCATTAACTTACTTCATTTGTTTGTTTAATGACCTGGAGGAGATTATTTTCAGGACAACAGAGTGTAAAATTTAATTCCAGAAGAGATTTATGGCACAAGGAAACCTTTCTAGAATTTGTATACCATCTTTATCGGGATAATTAATTGCCTGTCGAGAGATTTTTTTTGCCCCAGACATCTTGCTAACAGCTCCCACTCCAACAACTAAGCCAACGTCAGGGCTGCTCGCTTCAGTGGGGCAGAGTACATGAACCGGCTTTAGATCCACATCTTCTGAGGTAAACAAGTGTAAAGGCCTCACTTGCTTCCAGACATTTCCCTTCTTTGGTAACATCTGATACAGCGCAGCAAAGAAACAACCACCATTTTAAAGGATAATGAAGAGTACAAAAATTAGTAGCGAGTCTGAGAAACAATCCATGTACTGTAATAAACCTCTCCTCCCCATTATGCGCGTTACCAGAGAGTTAAGTGTGGGAAGCAGCCGCAGAGAAGCGGCAACTACACCATATGGGGGGACTTTTCAGCTACGTCAGAGGAGGACTGCAAGGACCAACTGGGTAATTATAGCCAAGCGATTTCAAATTAAAAGGAGGACTACCATCAAATGCCAGCTAAAATTGGAATCCTAAGCACTTATCAATCAGTTAAAGTATTTATATCCTGGTGGACAGAGTAAATTAAGCTGTCCAAGGTGGCTCACAATGTGAAAAACCCAGCTACGCAATAAAAGAATGGCTGCAACAGCAAATTCGCAGCAGCGGCGAGCAGAACTTCCCCTTGAATTCAAGGGGCCCTCTGCTAAAGCAATATTCACTTAAGCCTCAACTGAGCGAGAGTGGAGAAGATTTTCCTCAAGGAGGGATTTTGGTGCCCCTGTTGAAAAGACCCCGCTCCTGAAAAATCTCCACTGTATTATGTTGTTGTTGTTTAGTCATCTAGTCGTGTCCGACTCTTCATGACCCCATGGACCAGAGCACGCCAGGCACTCCTGTCTTCCACTGCCTCCCGCAGTTTGGTCAAACTCATGTTTGTAGCTTCGAGAACACTGTCCAACCATCTCGTCCTCTGTCGTCCCCTTCTCCTTGTGCCCTCCATCTTTCCCAACATCAGGGTCTTTTCCAGGGAGTATTCTCTTCTCACGAGGTGGCCAAAGTATTAGAGCCTCAGCTTCAGGATCTGTCCTTCCAGTGAGCACTCAGGGCTGATTTCCTTAAGAATGGAGAGGTTTGATCTTCTTGCAGTCCATGGGACTCTCAAGAGTCTCCTCCAGCACCATAATTCAAAAGCATCAATTCTTCGGCGATCAGCCTTCTTTATGGTCCAGCTCTCACTTCCATATAGAAAGCGGAAAATGCCAGGGTGACCAGTCAGTCACCACATGCCTTCTCCAGTACCAGCAGAGACTGGTTCATTTGGTCAAATGGTGCATCAGTCTCAGTCTGCCCTCGGCCAACCTCCAATTGCCTGCGTTCTTACAGCCAACTCAGGGCAGTGGTCTGCCTGTTCTGTTCCTCCTCCTCATTCTCAGTGTTGCCTTTGCAGAACTCAGTAGAGATTCGGATGTGGCAAAACCTGAATGAATCGGCTCTGCCTGTCACCGACCCTCCAAGAATCCCAATTTTCCAGGGCCATTCCTGGATTTACAGAAGCCATCCCGGTTTCTGATTTGATCCCAGAATGTCATGCTTTCCCTTAGGACATCCCTATTTTCATCAGAGAAATGTTGGAGGGTGTGGAGTTATGTGACCCCCCAAAGCCAAGGAGATAAGATACAACTTTTAGAAGACACCTGAAGGCAGCCCTGTATAGAGAAGTTTTTAAATGTTTAAAGTCTTATGATGTTTTTATGTATGTTGGAAGCCAACCAGCGTGGGATAGGACATCCCTTTTTTCATCAGGGGACGCGGGGGTTAAACCACAGAGCCTAGGACTTGCCGATCAGAAGGTCGGCGATTCGAAACCCCGTGACGGGGTGAGCTCCTGTTGCTCGGTCCCTGCTCCTGCCAACCTACCAGTTCGAAAGCACGTCAAAGTGCAAGTAGATAAATAGGTACCGCTCCGGCGGGAAGGTAAATAGCGTTTCCATGCGCTGCTCTGGTTTGCCAGAAGCGGCTTAGTCATGCTGGCCACATGACCCGGAAGCTGTACGCTGGCTCCCTCAGCCAATAAAGTGAGATGAGCGTCGCAACCCCAGAGTCGGTTGCAGCTGGACCTAATGGTCAGGGGTCCCTTTACCTTTACCTATTTTCATCAGAGAAATGTTGGAGGGTATGCTGTCATTGGCTCAGCTTCCAGCTATGGTTGGCCTCTCTACTTTTCTGCCTTGCCAGTCCCAAATGGACACCAGGCACTACATATTTCAGTGCATGGCAATGTAGTTCAAGAAGACTTTCCCAAATCCTATACCACACACAAACACACACACCAGTTTTGGAACATACCTGATTCATTCCCACCACACAGCTTAAGACAGAATTCTGGGCCTCTGTGCACCCTGCTAGCAGTTATCCTTTGGCAGTGAGAGTTAAAGGTAATCAATATTAGACTACAGAGGAAGAACTCAAGCATTTTAGAGCGATGCGAAATTCCTGCACGAGGAATGCTGTAGCCTGCTCTCTCGGGGTTAGGTGCCGAGGAAATATTCGCTCTCTCGGGATAAATTACAGCCGCTAATTACATTTTGGTCCTCAGACGAAGAGCACGGTTTGATAAACACACTCAAAAAGTAGGCCATTTCACAGCCTCTGGGGAGCACTGCATTACCCAGGATGACAAAACGCACCTTTTAAGCCGTTTTTAAACAGCAGAGATCCTACGATAATGAGAATGACTGCAAGTGACTTTGCAAATCAAATGTAAAGGGCTTGCTGAAGTGGAGTACCTGAGCGCTGGGATGTGACTGGAGGAACGTATGGAAAATCAAGAAACAGCACAACGGGGAAGAGAGGATGATGGGAAATCCAGGTGCTTGGAGATCCTGTCCCCTCCCCCTCCCCAAGTAACTAGCAATATGGGTCAATGGATATATGTCTGACTGTTTGGTGTAAGAGGATATAAAATGGTCCAGGTCAGCCCTGGGCATGTTGCCCTTAGAACCTTCATGTATATTCAGCCTGCAACAAACTTTTCTTGAGAATAAAAGCTTTGTCTCGAGAATGGGGCTTAGAGCTGCTCACCTGGAAACAGCTCCCCCCAGGGAACCTGCTCTAGGCAACCATAGTTCCATTAACCATGTTACATTCTTATAGCTCTCACAGGAGAGCAGATAATGCCAGTCCTGGCAAAGAGATGGGGGTGGATATCATAAAGACACCTACGTTTTCCCCAAACCAAGCAAGGAATGGCACCAGATAAAAGGGCAGTGAGTCCTCCCACTTAATATTCTCTGCTCTCGCCACCATTGCTTACAGCAGTGTCCCTTGAATTTGGGTCCCCAGTTGGACTACAACTCCCATTACCCTCACCCATCACCAATGGTCAGGGATGGTGGGTGTTGTAGTCTGAGGTTGAAGAACACTGGCCTAGAGCTAGGTGGGTGACAGAAATGCAAACAGGTTTACGTTGAGCTGCATTGCATATAGCGACGTGTATTTTCCAGGGTTGGTTGGGGACATCATAATGCTTGCCTTAAAATACATATATCTCTTATTTGGCTCATCTGGAGAAGGATTCTGCTTCTCCTGCCCTTAAAACCCACCAATGCACGTTCCTTGAAGCCTCTTGCCCATACCTCCCTACCTTCTCTCCCACCCTCTTATGTGGCTGTTGGCTCCATCAGCGGTAGCTATACCCCCACCCCCTGCCCCAAGTGCATTTTTAAGGTCTATTTGCACTTAATGTAGGGAGGAGAGATCTTCCACTGCCACTGGTGTCCATCAGCTGTCATGGACTGGCTGGTTGCAGAGGAGGGATGGGAGGCATCAGCTAGGAAACCCTCAAGGGAAGAAGACTCAGAGCCAGGAGATTGGTGGTGGGATGATGATGTGTGGTCAGAGGGAGAAGAGGGAGGAGAATAGGGGCAGGAGGTGTAAGAAGCTGAAGAGGTTTTAGTGAGCAGGAAGAGGCTGGGGCAGAGAGCAGTCAAGAATCAGAGGCAGCAGCAGAGGGGGCCCAAGCAACAGAGATGAGGCAGGCGGCTGAAGAAGCCAGGGAGTCTCCTGCTGTGACCAGCTCCTCTCCCCCTGGTCTCCCAGAACCAGAAGAGGTATGAAGAGGGTGGAGCAGAGACGGACAAGGCGATGAAGTCTCAGGTTGCTTGAGAAGGACCCCGGGGGAGGAG